TAGAAGTGAGGATTTTGAAGCTCTGTCTCAAATACTTTGGGCATATGGCCAAGAAGAACCAGTCCATGGAGAAGACATCATGCTCGGAAGGGTAGAGGGACAGCTCAGGAAAAGAACACCTAAGATAGATTGGTACAGTAACTGGGGCAATGGGAGTAGGTGTGTTTGAGTCAGTGAGACTGGCTCAGGACAGGACAGGCTTCGGAGCTGTTGTACATTAGGGTCACTATGAGTCACAGGTGACTTGACAGCACATAACAACAACATCTCAGATGCCACATTTAGAAAATGATAGCAATACCAATAGTATAGGATCTTTGTAAAAATTCAAAACAGATGTTTACAATGTCTGGACTGGAAAGATCCTCCCTCATTTTAGCAAAGGGAAGTCATACAGGTGGGCTTAACCATTGACTCAAAATTATGCTTCCTGACCAATAAAAGCACTAGGAAATAAGGAACCATTAATTTTATTGACTTTGAGCTGTGGTGCTGGAGAAGAGTACAACATATACCATGGGCTGATAGACCAAACAGGTTCAGGCTAGAGAGGGTGATACCATGCTGCTTCTTAGAGGCAAGGATTCTGAAGTCCTATCTGACATACTTTGGGCATGTTACAAGGAGAGATCAGTCCTTGGAGAGGGACGTCATCAGGGCAAGAGAGGAAGATCCTCCATGAGATGGACTGACTCAGTAACTGGAGTAACAGGGGTAGGTGTACAGTTCAGAGATGTTGTACACAAGGTCACTATGAGTCACAAATAATTCAATGGCACATAACCACCTCAATGGCACATAACCACTACAACTGGGTATCAGTACATTAAAGTTGCTCTAGAGGGGAAAAAATATATTTGTTAGAGTCTCAACACCAGCAAAGATGCAAGCATGCAATGTGTGCCCTTTGAGACTAACGACTCTTGCGTCAACTAACAGCAGCAGCAGTGGCAAAGCAGAGATCAGAGATTTCAGATGGAGCAGACCTTGAGACTGCTATGCCACTGAACCAGGGCTAAGAGCTTTTGCCCAAATATATTGGAGGATTGTGGGAGGGAGTAGAGGAGTAACTGGCAGGACTAAGAGCTTTGTAACACTGACTTAAAGCCATGAGGCTCAAGTGTGGGTGCCTGCAAGCACATTTTGGAAGTTGTCCTGAGTTGTCCTGACTAAGTGATCTTTTGCAACTAAAACTTACGGCCTTTTACTTGCCTTAAAAAAAAAAAAGCAACTGTTACTAAGCCAGCAACTGTTACTAAGCCACTGTTACTAAGCCTCATATCAAGAAAAACCAATATGTGAAATTTCTGAATTTCATATGTAAACCAGTATAAAATAAAATATAAAAATTAATAATAAAAATTAAACCACTGCTGTTGAGTTGATGCCAACTTGTAGTGATCCTAGGTTGTTAGATGCCATCAAGTCAACTTTGACTCATAG